TTTTTTTTTTTTTTTTTTTTTTTTTTTTTTTTTTTTTTTTTTTTTTTTTTTTTTTTTCTGCTTGACACCTCCTGGGCTCTTGCTGGGTCCGTTTGCTCACCAAGAAGTCAAGCCTCATGACTGTTAGACTCACAGAACTTTTCAACAGCTGGCCCGTCACATTACCTTTGTCCTTCTAGATCCAGGAGTGGGGCCCATTTGATCTCGTTATTGGGGGCAGTCCCTGCAATGACCTCTCCATCGTCAACCCTGCCCGGAAGGGACTTTATGGTAGGTATCCGCTTGGCTCCTGCTTTTTGCGCCGGTACTTCTCCACTTAGGTCTTAGGTGTCCTCTTCGGACATTTCTGCCTTGGCACCTCCTCCAGTGACCCCTTTCCCTCACCGTCCCCATGCCCAAGCCTCACCACTGTCTGATGCAAACAGCCCCAGCTGATGGCTTTCTCTTTCTTCCAACCTCTCAGAGGGTACTGGCCGGCTCTTCTTTGAGTTCTACCGCCTCCTGCATGATGCGCGGCCCAAGGAGGGAGATGACCGCCCCTTCTTCTGGCTCTTTGAGAATGTGGTGGCCATGGGCGTTAGTGACAAGAGGGACATCTCACGATTTCTCGAGGTATAGCCAGCTGACTAATGGCTTGTGCCGTGAAGCGCTGCTTCATCCCTGACTTGTCTGCATGGTGCAGCTGGGGACCGGTGGCTTATGTCTGCAGTGGGCAGCTTGAGGAAGACTCCCGTGGAGAGAGGCAGCAATGCTAGAGGTCCTCTTAGAAAGAGTGGTCTTACGTACGCCAAGAGGTGGCATGGTAGTAGGCTGGGGCCAGACTCCTGAGACTTGGGTTCTATAGAGAACTTTTGTTCAGGTTTTTTTTTTTTTTTTTTTTTTTTCCCTGACCAGAATGGCCCATGCTCACTCCCTGGCACCCTGCACCTGAGATGAAATTGTGGCTCATCTCTGCTTTCATTTCCTGTGATGTGAGCCCCAGTTTAGCACTGAGCCAAGTACAAGTCATACGGGGAGGGGGGGCTGCTACCTTGGGGTGGGCTGTCGGCCCCTGCTCCCGTTATCTCTAGCTCAGCATCTCGGGCGCAGTAAGCACAGGTGTATCAGAGCCTGCTCTCCTGAGCTCCTGAGTGGTCTGATGGGGCCCACAGCCTTGTGGCTATCCTAACAAGAGTGAGCCTCATGTGAAGCACACACAGGAGACACAGTGGCTGTTGTCATTACAGAGAGTTCATTTGGCTTGTGCTGGTCTGTCTAGAATGTTCTAGCAAGCACATGTGGGATGTATTTAGGTTTATTCTGGCTTTTCGTTGGGCCTTCACACTGTCCCAGTGTGTGGCTTCCTGAGACAAAAGTGCCTCAGGCATAAGGCCCCGGCCAGTCCGTTACCCAGCGGTTAATTCCTTCTTCGCTCATTTGAAGCCATCTCCTGTTTTACAGTCCAATCCTGTGATGATTGACGCCAAAGAAGTGTCTGCTGCACACAGAGCCCGTTACTTCTGGGGTAACCTTCCTGGTATGAACAGGTTGGTGAGCGCTCCTGGCATGGGGGATATGAGAGGAGTGGCTGCAGGCAGGAAGCCCAAGGAGGGGGGAACACTGAGGGTCCAGCCTGGACTGCCTCTGCTGAGCGGCTGCTGCTCTGTTGTTCGTGTGCGTATTTAAACACTTTCTTGAGAAAGTGGATATTTCAAGTGAGACCTAGTCTTTGGTGCACACAGTAAGCAAGTGCTGTAACTATGAGCTACAACCCCAGCCCTGGTGTCTGGGACAGGGTCTCACTATGTCGTCTAGTCGGGCCTCAGACTCAGGAAGCCTTGCTTCTTCCCCATCTTGATAGACTGTGTCATTGCACCCAGCTAATTCTTAGCCTAGGGAAGGCCTTTCCTCTCCCAGGCTGCCCCTGAAATACAACACAGCAACACAGAATTTTACATTTTGGAACAAAATTTTTGTCCCACATAGCTCGGACTAGCCTCAGATTTCTAACTCTTGGGCCTCTACCTCCTTAGCACTGGACTTTTTTGGAGAAACTGAGTCGTAAAGGGTGCCCCTAAGGTTTATATTCCAATCACCTCCAGCCACCATACCCACCCATGAAATAGTAACCACAAATCAAGATACAGCTTGCTTTGTGGTAAAGCCAGGAGTAATGGGTTTTAAATTTATGTGCCCACAAGGATTGAGGTTTGTGTGGTTGCTTGTGAACAGGCATGGATATAGGGGGTTATGCTGTGTGTCTATTTGGGGTGGAGGGCTCCAGACCTTGCCCTGAGTCCCATGGCTGCTGGGGGTTGGCACCTGGATAGGGCTTTCCTTGCTCTGCGCTGCCATGGTGCCTCTTGCTTCCTAGGCCATTGGCATCCACTGTGAATGATAAGCTGGAGCTGCAGGAGTGTCTGGAACACGGCAGAATAGCCAAGGTCAGCCTCAGCACCCAGGACAATGGGGGGCGGTAGCTGATGGCAGGATCAGGTGGTGCGTGGCAGAGCCGTGCACCACCTGTCCTCTTGGGATGGTGTGGGATCATATAGCCAGTTGGCCAGGGAATGGACTAAGCCTGCTGACCCTTAATCCCACCCCCACTGAAGGGTCTCTAGCAGGGTTCTGGGTGTACTAGGTTAGTGTGTGTGTATGGACATTTGCTGGCATGTCCTCTGCACCTCGACGTGTGCACATGCAGAAGCCAGAAAAGGATGTCACAGCCCTTGTAGGTGCTAGGAATCGGATCCAGGTCCTCTGGCAAAGTAGCCCTTGCTCCTTAGTCCCTGAGCCGCCTCTCCAGCCCTTAGTTTTTTAGGTTGGGTGTCTCCCTACTACCTAGATCAGTCCGTCCCTATGAGGCTTGGCTGGGTCTGCCCCCTTCTGACCCAGACATGGGCAACTTTTCTACCTCCTCCCTTCTTTTTTTGAATCCTGACTAGAACTTAAGAGTGCCCTTTTTTTTTTCTGGATTCTTTGGGCTTCCTCACTCGGTCTCTAATGCCGCCCTCCTCGACACACGGCTGCTTGTCCACCATGTGTCTGATCTACACACTTGCTTGAACGGCATGCATTTTCCCTTCTCTATTCCAGGCAGCTGCTGAAAGTTGCAGCTTTGCCTCTCCTGGAGTTTTTCTTATAAGCTCTAATAAAATTGTTCTTCCGCTTAAAAAGAAAAGATCAATTTTTGTTTTGTTCTTGTGTTGATGGGATCTCAAAGCCTGCAGCATGGAGAACAACCTCCTGTAATGTAATTTCTCTCTGGAGGAGTCTCTCCTGTGGCCCGTGCAGTCTCGCAGTCCGGACTGGTGGTCCCCACCGTGTGCCTTTAGACTGCTGAGTCATTGATATTCTGAAGAGAGCCAGTGTTTTGGAGATTGAGGAGTGAGGTAGTCACAGCTGCTGCCTCTAGGCTGATTAGCTATTACCAGGAATGCCCAAGTGACCTCAGAGTGGGAAGGGAGACAGGGACCAGGAAGGAGGCTTATACTCAGTGACCTGAATGGACTGGACCAGCCAGCCAGTCAGTTATCAGTGAGTGATGCTCATTCCTCTTCCTCTTCGTCTTCTAGTTCAGCAAAGTGAGGACCATTACCACCAGGTCAAACTCCATAAAGCAGGGCAAAGACCAGCATTTCCCCGTCTTCATGAATGAGAAAGAAGACATCCTCTGGTGCACTGAGATGGAAAGGTAGCTGTACTGGGTGCTTGTGTCTGGCCAGGGCTGCTTTGAAGGAAGGCTCTGTCTTGGCTGCCACATTCTTGTTTCCCCCAGATTTTGTAAGTGGATTTTAACAAACGTTTCCCAGCATGCCAGGCTCCTGGGGAGGACCTGCGTATTTCCTGACTCGTTCTTATTCAGAGGGGTCTTAAAATCATTCAAAGAGCACATTGGAGCCCTGCAACCCAGTCCATGCCCTCCTGGACTTGCATTGTGGGTATTTTGGATGTGTTTTGAAGGCCAATGTAGATGCTTATGGACCACAGCGGGGTGGGCTTGGCCAAACAAAAAGGTCACTTCACAGAGACACCCTGAGCAACAGGCACCCCTGGAACTCAACAAGTCAGAGTCCTACTCGGAGGGCCCCTCTCTTCCCAGAAGGGTCATTTGGGGTTAATCTGAGTGTATTGACTGTGTGCACCCGTCCAGCTCTCGTGTGCAGGGAATCTGTAGAGCATGTCCAAGAGGTATTCCAGAGGTATGGGTGTTTTTTTGGTTTGTTTCTGGTGAATGTGAACATCAAAGCTGGGATTATATTACCTGTCTTTAACTCCACAGAGTGCCTGACACGCAGCTGAAGGAGAGGTCAGCCTACATCAGGAATGCAGAGTGAGCTAACTGCCCTGGCACCCACACTCACGCAGCACTTTCTGCCTTCCTCCCACAGGGTGTTTGGCTTCCCTGTCCACTACACAGATGTTTCCAACATGAGCCGCTTGGCGAGGCAGAGACTGCTGGGCCGATCGTGGAGCGTGCCGGTCATCCGCCACCTCTTCGCTCCGCTGAAGGAATATTTTGCTTGTGTGTAAGGGACGTGGGGGCAAACTGCAGTAGTGATGATAACAAAGTTAAACAAACAAACAAAAAACAAAACACAATAAAACACCAAGAACGAGAGGATGGAGAGAAGTATCAGCACCCAGAAGAGAAAAAGGAATTTAAAACAAACCACAGAGGAGGAAATGCCGGAGGGCTTGGCCTTGTGAAAGGGTTGGACATCATCTCCTGAGTTTTCAATGTTAATCTTCAGTCCTATTTAAAAATCAAAATAGGCCCTCCCCTTCTTCCCCTCCTTTTCCTAGGAGGTAAACCTTTTGTTTTCTACTCTTTTTCAGAGGGGTTTTCTGTTCGTTTGGGTTTTTGTTTCTTGCTGTGACTGAAACGAGGGTTATTGCAGCAAAATCAGTAACAACAGAAAGTAGTAATACCTTGGACAGGAAAGGGAGAGAGGAAAAATTCTATAAAAATTTATATATTTTTTTGTTTTTTGTTTTTATTTTTTTTTTTTCTATATATCTTTGGTTGTCTCTAGCCTGCAGATAGGAGCACAAACAGGAACAGAATAGAGACCCTCGGGAGGCAGAGTCCCCTCCCAGCCCCTGAGCAGTCTCAACAGCACCATTCCTGGTCATGCAAAACAGAACCCAGCTAGCCGCAGGGCGCTGAGAACACCACACCAGACACTTTTCTACAGTATTTCAGGTGCCTACCATACAGGGAACCTTGAAGAAAACCAGTTTCTAGAAGCCGCTGTTACCTCTTGTTTACAGTTTATATATATACGGTAGCTCTGAGATATATATATAAAAGGTACTGATAACTACTGTACAACCCGACTTCATAACGGTGCTTTCACAACAGCGGGATGAGTAAAGACATCAGCTTCCACCCGGCCTTCTGTGCAGAGGGGTCAGCCCAGGATGGGGGAGGGAGGCATCTCCATATCTGCCCCCCATGCCCAGCCTCTCCCTGCCCAAAACAGGGTCAAGCTGAGGTGGTCAGAACCTGGGGAAGCTGAGTGTGGAGTTTATCCAGACTCGTGCAATAACCTTTGAATATAATCTAAAAGGACTGCCTTGGTAAAATGGTGTGAGAAAACTTTCCCCGCGATTTTGAATTTGTCAGCCACATGGAAGGCTCCTCGTGGGCTCAGAAATACCCAGGGTGAGGGAAAGCAGTCTGCCATTAACCCCACCTGGAGCAAATAAAAAAACATACAAAACGTGCTGGTGCTTTCGTCTAAGTTGCCTTTTGTGTGTTCTTTTATGAGGCCCCCACCATCCCTTCTGCACAAGGCAGCTCTGGTCCTGGAATGTGATGTTTTTGGTCATCTCTACAGACAGCAGTTTCGTACTTGGAAGGCTGATGACACCTTTATTATAATTATTCTTACGGTTCTGGTTATAATTGTTTGTTTTCAGATTTTCTTTGAGAAAACAGAAACCCAACACCCTTCCCTTTAGGTTTCAAACCAAGGTGCAGGGGGGTGGGGGTGGCAGGTGCTTCTAAGGCCCAGTGGCTCTGGTGCCCTGGCTCTCACCCCTCGGGCCAGGTGGGCCACTGGGCAGTACAGCAACAAGCTAGGTGGCCAGGGCGTTCTGAGGCCCACCCTCCGGGCCAGTCACTCTTCTCTTCTTCTTCCCCTCCTCGTAAGTCCGGTGTGTCAGGGCTGGAGGGAGGCCAGGGCAGCCTCTCTCCTCGTGTGTGTGGTTGGAATGGCGTGTGTTTCTTTTCTAGTGTTTGGTCTGACAGCTGGGCTCTCGCCTTGAGTCGGTGCCACCTGGGGCCCACCTGCTCGCACTGTGTTCCGCTCCTACCCAGGGCAGGCAGCCCGGTGTTGGCAGTGGGAAGGGAAGGTGTTTGTTGGCCCCAAGGTGAGGGCCCAATGGGCAGAGCTTGCCTGGATGGATGGAGTGTAGATATGTGGCATATAGAGATATATATTTTATAATGGGAGGGGGGACGGCACCTCCTGGGACCAGCAGGGGCTGGGAGGTGTGCTGTCAAGCACATGGTCCCAAGACCGCATCCCTAGAAAGATGGGGCCTATGATAGGCCCCATATAAATACATAGATAGGGTCATGTATAAGAAGTATACGCAGTGGGGGTTGGGGGGAGTGGGCTCTGTGTTGAGCCTGGGTCCCTCCCACAGACAGCCCCACACCAGTCAGTCAGTCTAACACATGCACAGGAACCTGTTTCTGTCTGGACGCACACCAGGGGGCTCCTGGCACACTTCTCCCCAGAATCAGGACACTGGAGTCAGCCCATGCAGCTCACACTTCTGTTGCCCTGATGACAGATAAGACTCGAAGTTGCTAGGTGCTGAAGTCAGGAAAAGGAGGAGGTTTGGTTCAAGCAGGTGCTTCCTCTAGCAGGTCTGTGTTCTATACCTTTTGCCCCTGGTGATGTCAAAGATTCTTCTGTTAGCAGCCTGTGGTTACTGACCTGCAACTCTAGGCACCAGTCAAGTCAGCCCTCAACTCCCCCTACCTATTCTCCCCAACCAGAGTCAAATTGAAATCTATCTTGGTCACTGGGCTTCCATTGGGAAAAGAAAAAAAAAATAAAATAAAAATGGGACAGGGAACCTCACCTTTGGAATAAAGCAAATTAGTAATTAGTAATAAAACCAAACAAAGGCTTTGGCTCCCTCAGTTGCTGCTCAGGAGTAAGCCCAGCTGGTGGCTCGTCACACCTTGGGCTGTGACACCTCCTGCCCGCCTCTGCTCATTTTCTCTGGAGAGACTTAAGACTACAGCTAGTTCTCCCTGCTACAGCAGGTAGAGACTGTGGCCGCAGCATCCACGAGAGGGGAATGCTTGCCCCCTTGAAGTCCCTGTGCTGAATGTGACGTCCTCCCTTGCTCCAGCAGGGCTCCATTCTGACCTGGAGTCCACCAGCACCGTGCAGGAGGACTTGGGGGGGAGGAGGGCTGCCTTAGGCAGTCCAGGGTGCTCCCTCCCCCTATAGCCAATGCCAAGGTCTTCCCAGCTCTTACTGGCAGGAGTGTCTTCAAGGGCCTTCCTCTTCCACTTCTGCCCACTGCTTATGTGAAGAAGCTAGCCTTTCTCAGCGCCACCTCAGCCAGGCCTGGTGCTCCCCAGTCCTTGGGCTTAGAGTGAGGCCTCCATGGCGAAGGATGTGGCATCCCCGAGGAACTGAGTTGAGGCTTCCAGGTGGCTGCCCAATCCTGATGTGACAAGTTCCCTAGAGTGGATTCCTCATGGGGCCTCTGGCGGTTTGCTTTCCTCCCAGCCCATTGTGTGGGCTTGGTCTCACTGTAGCGTGGAGGTACCAGTTGAGTCAGGCGCTGACCATCCCCTCCCTAGTCTTTGGGAATGTGCCACCTTGGCACAGCTGTGATTCCCTTCATCCACCTCTGTTCCAAGTGGGGCTTCTGGAATCCCGCTCAGAGGAAAGCTGCTAGGTTGCTGTGGGCACTGAGGTGGGGTTATGGGAAGCTTGTGCTGTACAGATAGGAGCTCACTGTGGATGGCTGAGGCTAGAGCCAGGTCCTGGGAGGATCCCCAGTGGGGTTCCCTGTGGGGTCTCCTTTCCAAAGAGAAGGCTTGTTTTCCCTGGAAACTAAGGTGCTAGGGACTGAGTGACAGCCTCCCTTCTGCAGGTGCCATGTGAAGCCTCGTGCCAAAGATCTGTGGCCCTTGCCCAGGGGAGGTTGCCGGTGCTAGCGCCAGGGTCACGGAACCAAGGCCTCCTGTGGAGGCACACATGCCAGCGGGGTCCAAGCTGGTGCTAATTCCTCCCCACAGGACCCAGTAAGCCTGGGAACCTGCAGTAGGCTGTATCACTGGGGTCGGATACCCTATTAGAAAGCAAAGGTCCCCTAAAGAGCCTGGACCTCTTCATTTTGGCAGCAGGGCTGGGTGTGGCAGCAGATAGAGAGATTGCAAGTAAGTATCCCTGTGGCTGTTGGTAAACCGCGAATGTGGATTCAGGAGTGGCAGGTAGTAGGGCAAGCCGACATTGGAAGGGCCTCCCAGCCCTGATAGCATCTCTCTTCCGGGGATGCTCAGTTCCAGTCATCACGTGCTGCGGCCAGGGTAAAGCCTCTGGTTTAGGAGTTGGGGGGAGTTAAGCTGAGTCACTGTGAAAGAATGCGCTTATAGGAAAACTACAGATTGTTGGTTTCTATATTTCTTACTACTCAGTGTGTCCAGAGGAAAGTGAATTCCCAGCTCTGTTTAGATGGGTGCAGGACTACACTGTCTTCAAGAACTATCGCTGTAGGAGCCCTGGCCCCGGGCTGTGTGAACAGTCCAGCTGAGCTTCTAAGCCGGCCCATGTTTAGATCTGAGTTTGGCACTTGACTGCTCGCCATGCTTGTGATGAGGCGGGGGCGCCGAGTTGCCCCGCATGGCAAAGAACAGCTGAAGCCTCTCACCCCACTACACGGCAAAGGTGGTGTTGCTGAGTGATGAGGTTGAGTTAGAATGGCCCTTTTGACTCTTTCCCATTAGAGCAACAGTGCCAGGTCAGGGGACGGCTAAGGAAAGGGTCAGTGAGGGTCATTGTGAGCTCGTGCATATTTGTGGTAAGAGAGCTGAGGTCTTTGGGAAATAGGGATCTTGTATGCAGGCTTCCAAGACCTGGCTAAAAGGCTCTAGCCCCAGGCACTGGAGACCAAGAAGTAGACCCAGAGGGAGAAATATGGAAGGCCCTTAGCTGGTGGGGGACTTGGCAGCTTCTCTAGGGGACCCCAGAAACTCCAGTAACTGGCTCCCCTATTGGGTGGAGCTCATCTGCGGGCTCATAGAATGGTCCTCCTAAAGCGGCCCCACCCCTGAACCTGAGTACTTGAGCAGTGGTCTAAAGTCTCACCTGGTCCCATTTTACAGACTAATTTGATTGCCCAGCCCTAGAATTCTATAGAAACAATAACAAATAAAAGCTGAAATTCTTTAGAATATGCAGAGGGGAGGAGGTGACTCAACAAGGTGCTAAACACATTTTATTAAAAATATATATTGTTAAATTAAGTCTGCTGTCTGGACAATGATGTTTTGTTTTGTTTTCTTGTAGTGGAGTTTAAAAGAGACTATTATTTTACTCTGATATATTATTATTAAAAAGGCATTTTAACTTTGTACTTGAAAACTAAGTGAGCGATTTCACGTGTTTTAGCTGAGGCATCGAAGTAGCGGGTGCTCTCTCGTGGGAAATCATGTATTCATACTGCAAAATAAACTCCGTAGCTGATTTGGTAATAACGTTTACTGTTACAGGCGATTTCGCTTTGACCCCGGTGGCAGAGCGCTTTTACTCCACATTCCACGCAGCTAAGTGCAGGACCTTCCAGAATTTTCCCTCCCTTGGCCCTCTTTCTTTTTGGTTCCTCTTCCTCTCTCTCTTTTCTTATTTTTTTTTATTGTTGTTTGTTTGTTTTTGTTTTTTTTTCTGGTCCCAGCATCCTTCTACCACTGTATTTTTTTTGTTAGGGTTGCTTCTCTATTTATTGACAATAATACTGTACATTTCACAGTCTGGTTCTGGGACAGCCAGGAGAGGCGTGGGGGCCGCACACAGCCTGCCGCACCGCCCGGCGTCCCCTTGTATCTCTGTGTACGTGATGCTTGTGACATAGCTGTTGATGAAAATATTAAAAAGGTCAATGCGTACAGCAGATGTAGAAAGTCTGTCACGTTCCGCTTCCATCACATTTTTTTTTTTTGTGCCCAGAAGAATATAATAAAGCTCCTTTCTAATGTACTTGTGCTGGAGAACACTTGAATAAATGGACTGTTTTTGTGCAAAAAGAAAAATGGAAAAAAAAAAAGCACCGTCATAATGTCCTTTTGTCCTGCGTCTCCTCCCCCCGCCCCCCCATGTGACAGCTCACAGTCCTCCAGAGGGCTGAAGTACCCAAGAGGGTGCAGGTAATACCAGGGGGGAGTGGATTTCTGCAGTATCGCCCGTGTGGGTGGTAACTAGGGGCTGGGACCCAAGGACGGGGAGTTTGCTCAAGCTCAGAAATAAGTTAGATGAAGTTGTCTAGAAAGGCAGCTTAACTTCCGGAAACAGCAGACGTCTTGAGACCAGAGCAGGAAACAGAGCAGCGGTCTGGTCAGATGACGATAGGAGGACCCAGTGGGATTTACTCACTCCAGGGGTCCAGAGAGCAGCAGCGGAGAGGTAGAGGACTGGGGCTGGGAGAATCCCGGAAGAACCCAGGATTTAAAGGAGATATTTGCAAACGCTTGACGGGTGGTCCAAGGGCCGGGACAAGTAGCCAGGCTGTTTCTGGGCAGCTTACGGGCTCTGGCAGGGCCTTGTGGTCCACCAAGTTGTAAGGTCTGTCTGTCTGTCCTGCATATCTCCAGCAGTACCCAGCAGGCTTGACCCGGGTGCCCACGCCTAAGGATTGTTCAGGCTGTTTATTCCACCAGGCTTTGGGAGGTTAGGATGGCACGGGGGCAAACGGGAAGCCCTGCTGAACAGGTTTCCTCATGGGCACTTTTTCTCGCTTGTTTCTTTTTTTTCTTTCTTTGACAAGGTTGTAAATGTATATTTGACTTTTACGCTACTTTTTTCTTGATGTTTTTCAATGTTGATGTGGAATCTTACTTTCAAATGGCTGCATGGCATTTTCTTGTTGAATGTTTGTTTATATATATTTTATTTTCGCTATAAATAGAGCTTCAATAAACATCTTTATGTTTTGGCTTCCCCCTTTTTGTATTTTTTTTCCCCTTGAAATAGATTTCCAGAAATGAGACCAATTGGAGAAAGTTACAGTGGACATTTTGGTGGGTGCCCAATTCCTTCCAAGAGATCGGCAGAGAGGGTATGGGTGTCAGCTCTGAGATTCTGTCTGGCAGGAAACAAACTGGGCCCATAGTGAGCAGTGTTCTGGACAGTATCTCAGCCTGTTCTCACAGGAGCCCCAGAGCTTACATAACTCAGAACAGAGATGCTAATTTAGCTCACTGTTCTGGAGGCTGGGTCCAGAATCAGGGACCTTGGTGTTGTCATGACAGACAGGGCAGAAAAGAGTTCAGACTCCCTTCATTGGGAACTTTCTCCTCAGAGGCTCTCCAATGCCACTACAGAGCTATAAAGAGAAGACAAACCACACTGAACCCATGGCTTACACATTAATCCTGGTGGGAATGTGTGTGTGTGTGTGTGTGTGTGTGTGTGTTTGCACATGCGAATGTCACATTGCATGACAAAGTCAGGGCACAACCTTGGGTGTGAGAAAAGCAACATGACCTGCCCCAGCCCACTACCCTGTGTGTACCCATTCCAGTGCTGGGTTGCAGGGGTGCAGCCACGCCCGGCTTTTTTTAAAAATTTGTTTATTTATTAAAGATTTCTGCCTCCTCCCCGCCACTGCCTCCCATTTCCCTCCCCCTCCCCCATCAAGTCCCCCTCCCCCAATCAAGTCCCCCTCCTCATCAGCCCAAAGAGCAGACTGAGACAATGGGATGTTCTATCGGGAACTCACCAAGGCCAGCTGGCCCAGGTCTGAAAAAGCCTGGGATAAAACCGGACTCGCTGAACATAGCGGACAATGAGGACTACTGAGAACTCAAGAACAATGGCAATGGGTTTTTGATCCTACTGCACATACTGGCTTTGTGGGAGCCTAGGCAGTTTGGATGCCCACGCCCGGCTTTTTACATAGGTTCTTGGAATTGGATTCAGGTCCTTACACTTACACAGCAAGCAGGCTTATCCACCGAGCCATCTCCACAGCCCAAGACTTAGTTTTGAGAAGCTAGACAGTAAGGAGAAGCAGAAGCAGGGGGTGCGGGAGCTTGCAAATCATCTTTCCTGGTGGAATCCAGGCAGGGACAACACAGCCTCAATCTCCAAGACTGGCTCCAAGGCTCCGGAGAGAGGGGAAGGCATGGAGAAGTATGGGAGAGATAGGCTTAGACATCCTTGGTTCTGAAAGCCATGCCTAAATATCTAAAGGCCATCCAAGCCTGGGTTGGGAGAGTGTACTCAAGGCAAGGAGCTGCCTCTCATTTAGTTAGTAAAAACCGATTGATAGGATCGCTGTAAATTTGAGGCCAGCCTGGTCTACAGAGTGAGTTCCAGGACAGCCAGGACTACAGGACTACACAGAGAAACCCTGCCCTGACTCAAAAAACCAAAAACCAAAACAAAACAAAAACCCAAAACCTATTGGTGAAGGAAACTCCTGCTGTCCCTTGATAATTTGGAGGATCAGGGATGGGGGTGCAGAGCCAGGGCTGGTGAATCACGGAAGATACCAGCTACAGTGTTGAGTGGCGCCCTACACCCCATTCCTAGGTGGTGGGGGGGAGGGCATACACTCCGCTACCCGGGCTGAACTTCAGTCAGCAGGAACTGGCCGGTCTCTGAACAAAGGAGGTGGGACAGGGGGCTGCCATAGCTGACCAGGAGGGAAGCTTGGAGCACGCATCAGAGCTGGTGTGGGCTTTTGCGTAATCTCTGGTCATGTGTGTGCGAATGGGGCCTGCCTGCGGGGACATAAGAAGATGGATGTTGCCGATGGGAGCACCTGTCAGTCACCAGGTGTCACCTGCAAGAATTCATTCTGCCTTGGCTTCAGGGCACATTGAAAGGGTAAACCCTTTCCCTCAGTGGTCCTGCCCCCTTCTTGACTGGGACTCTGTGACAGGGGCAACTGAGTTGGGAGGAAAGTCAACTTGGGGAGCTGAAGGGCAGCTGTAGGATAGGAGCTAAAATAGCATTAAAAAATGGATTTTTATTCATGTGTATGCCATGTGCATGTAGATGCCCTTGGAGGCCAGAAGAAGCTTCCGATTCCCTGGAGCCGGAGTTGCAGGCGGTGGTGCGCTGCCCCCATGTGGGTGCTGGATACCTCTGGAAGTGCTCCTAACTACACGTGGTTTACCAGGGTGGCAAGTTCAAGGGCAGCCTGGGCTGAAAACAAAATGCCCCTCCCCCAGGACTTTGGCTCCCTCCTGACTTGCTCCCATCTTTGGCCCCTTAAAAACTGGTGCTTGGCTGAGTGTGAGGGACTTACCTGCCTTTAATCCCAGCACTCGGTAGGCAGAGACAGGAGGATCTCTTTGAGTTTGAGGTTATCCTGGTCTATATAACCAGTTAGTTCTAGGACAACTGGGACTATATAAAGAGATCTTACCTCAAAAACAAAACAGACAGAACACAGTGACCCTTTAATACAGTTCCTCATACTGTGGTGACCCCCCCCCACACACACACCATGAAATTAGCTTTGTTGTTACTTTATAATTGCAATTTTGGTACTGCTAAGAATCGTAAGGTACGGGCTGGAGAGATGATTCAGTGGTTAAGAGCATTGGCTGTTCTTCCAGAGGACTCAGGTTCAATTCCCAGCCTCCACATGGACGCTCACAATGGTCTGTAACTCCAGTTCCAGGGGATCTGACATCCTTACACCAATGCACATAAAAGTAAGTTTAACTAAATTTTAAAAATAGTCATAAAGTAAATAACTGGAATGCCACTCCTGTGAAAGGGTCATTTGAGCCCAAAGGGTCACACTGTCTAGAGACTGAGAAACACCCGTTAGACCTGAGTTTGATCTTCAGAACACACATAAAAAAGCTAAATGTGAGGGGCTGGAGAGATGGCTCAGAGGTTAAGAGCATTGCCTGCTCTTCCAAAGGTCCTGAGTTCAATTTCCGGCAACCACATGGTGGCTCACAACCATCTGTAATGGGGTCTGGTGCCCTCTTCTGGCCTGCAGGCATACACACAGACAGAACATTGTATACATAAGAAAAAAAAAAAAGCTAAATGTGGGTCAGCCAGATGGTTCAGCAGGTAACTTGCCCAGGGCTTCAAAAGACAGGGCTTCAAGAAAAAAATAATCACCATAATGTAACTGTGGTATTTTGATAATGATATTATGGATATTATTGATATTATTTGACCGACTGTGGCTGGTCCTCAGAGAGCTGTCCCTGCGCGTGTCTGTGCCACCCTCAGTGGGGTTCCTGGTCTCCCCCCCGCCCAGTAGGCAGCCTGCCCAGACTTCTGGGAAACAGGAAGATCCCTACCCTTTCAGAAGGGTCCTGCATGCCCACCCGGCACACATCCTCATTCTGGGCAACCAAGGTCACCCTGAGACCCAGACACCGAGCTTGCAGTTGGGTGCAGTTAGCAGCCACAGAGGGTCACAGTTGGTGAGACAGTGCCACCGTGCCCAGGCCATGTGGCAGTGTGGTTGGCAGAAGGCCACGGTCTCTAGAACTCTAGTGGTTAGCTGCTTAGGACTGTACCCAGGTGCCAACTCAACACTGCCCTCTCTGCTCTGCTAATTGGCTCCCAGGTATGGGGACTAGACTGGAGGAGAGATCCAGGAGTGGGTGTGGATCCAGTGAATCTAAGTAGAAGAAATCAGACCAGCTCAGAGCCTGGCTAGGTTTCTCCATCTGTGAAATGGGCTCAATGAAGAACCTCCCCCGGGTTGTCGGGGTGTAAAATGTGTTGGGATCTGGAAAATGGGCACCACCTTTTGGTGTTAGTATTGAGCCATTGTTTCTCCCTGGGCTAGAACTCAGTCCTGGCTCCTCTCTCTTCCTCCAGGTCCTGGCTGCCCAGTCAGACTTGGGAGGAGGAAGGAGCCCCAGCCATAGAAGGCAGGCAGGCCTCTGTCATTTTGATGGCTTCTTTCCTACCTTCCCTGCAGACTTCCCTGTGTGCTGGCTTAGTGGCCGACTTTATAGGATTTAGACTACCCATTCTAATTGCCTGGAGCCCAGCTGCCCGAGCCAGGGAAGGCAACTAGGAAGAAGTTTCCAGGCTGCAGCCCATGGTCCCTTTGGGCTGTGTCCCACATCTTCCTTCATTCGCTCATTTTCCCTCTGGCTTCCCAGCCTCAGGTCCAACCTGTAGCGCCTGTCAGCCCCATCTCTGGTTCCTCACCAGGTTCCTGTGACCTCTGGCCTCTGGCTGATCAGAGCAGACCACAGTGTCACCCTGGCTGGGCCAGTGAGCTGTGACGGAGGTCTGTGTGTGTCTCTTGAAATATAGACTTCTTTCTTTTCCAGTGGTAGCTGGGTTTTTCTTCTAGGAGGGGTGGCTTGGTCCCCCAGGAACGGCCACACTGGGAGTCACCCACCCAGGCTCTCTGGTGAGTTGTAGCCTGGGCTGCATCATGCTATTTCAAAAAAAAAAAAAAAAAAAAAGCACTTCCCCCCAAAAAACAACAACAATAAACAAAACTCCACCCTAACCCCCACAGAAAGAAACCACTGAGACATGGGAGAAGGGGCTCTCACAGTCAAATCTCTCAGCCACCATCTCCCTCTACATACAAGTGTGTTCATTAAAAGACAGTTCCTTAGGGCCTGTGAAATGGCTCCATGGGTAAAGGCCCTTGCGCCAATCCTGGTGACCCGAGTTTAAGTGCCAGAAGGCATGTGGTGGAAGCCGGGAGAGCCGAGACCTCCACATGTCTGCAGTGGCACGTGTGCATCCGTGTGCCCATGTACACACAAACACATGATAAATAAATGTAAAAAAACTTAAAAGACAATTCCACCATGATATACGTAGACTCACGCTGACCCATGCGTGGGACTGGAGAAGTCTGCAGGGGATGGGCTAAGGCTACTGTCTGTGTCCTGTTGTGACTGTAGGAGGTGGAGACCGGGACTAGTAAGTAGTTCAAGCCCAGTCTTGGTTACTTTTATCTAGTTTGAGGCCATACTGGCCAT